CGGCAAACCCACAAGGGCCCCGAGTTCTGTCTCTGGCATGGACGGAAAACCTGCGTGTGGTGGCATGCTGATCTCAATGCTGTGGTGCCCCGGACCCCAGTGAGAAATCCTATCTCAATAAACAGATGAATAAACCACGGTGGATGCACAGAGCTCTGTGGGCGTCTCCACCCTCTCGGCTGAAGGGGCCTGGCTTCAGCCACCACCACCAGAGTCACATCCACAAGGGAGGAGAGAACCAGTCCCTGAAAAGTTGCCCTCTGACTTTTGAGTATGTAATGCCTCCCCTGACCACATATACACACAAATCAATAAATGGAAAAAACACTTGTCAAGTTCTTTAAAACAGTAGGTAATAAAAAAGCTTAGACATGGAGCCCAGGGACCCAAGTGGAGGTCACGTCTCAACAGTTACTCACTCACAATGGGAGAGAGGAGGGGGTACTAGGGAGCTAGGAAGAGTTTTGAGTAAGAGGAGGCTGAGATCCATGCATGGGGACCTGTCCAGATGCTGTTATGGAAGGAGGGTTAAAAACTGAAAGCCAGAGAGGGTCAGCACACTGGCTTAAGCTTTTAGCGCTAGGACACAGGAGGTTGGGACAGGAGGTTGCTGTCAATTCAAGGCCAGCCTGGGCTATATATTAAGTTCTAGGTTAGCCTGGACTGTGTTGTGAGACTTTTTCTAAAAAAAATAAAAAGAGCCGGGTGGTGGTGACACACGCCTTTAATCCCAGCACTTGGGAGGCAGAGTCGGGTGGGTATCTGTGAGTTTGAGACCAGCCTGGTCAAAAAAGTGAGTTCCAGGACAGCCAGAGCTAGACAGAGACACCCTGTCTTGAAAAAAATAAGTAGGGCTGGATGGTTCTGAGGTTAAGAGCATTGACTGCTCTTCCAAAAGTCCTGAGTTCAATTCCCAGCAACCACATGGTGGCTCACAACCATCTGTTATGAGATATGGCGCCCTCTTCTGGTGTGCAGATAGACATGGAAGCAGAATACTGTATACATAGTAAATAAATAAAAATCTTTAAAAAAAAGAAAATAAATAAATAAAGGTGGCCAGGTCTGCAAGCAGGGAGAAGTTGTGGATCTGACATGACAGGCCGTGGTGACAGATGAGGAACAAGAGATAAGAGTTATTTAGGCAAAGGTCAGGGATTAGGTGAAGAGGCATGGGGCAAGTTTTTGTTCTTGCAATACTGTGGACCAAACCTAGTGCATGCTAGGCAGAGCTCTACCATAGAGCCACACCCCAGCCCCTCACTGGGGGATTCTAGGCAGGGGCTCTACCACTGAGCCACACCCCCAGCCCCTCACTGGGGGATTCTAGGCAGGGGCTCTACCACTGAGCCACACCCCCAGCCCCTCACTGGGG